TGCTTCGTTTGGCATGCGATGGCTTGTGAAATAGAAAAAGCGGCAAAATGTAACCAGAATTATTCGCAACAAATCGAAACAAACACACGACAATTGTTTACATCAGTATGCGATAAAATCAGTTCATCGCAACGAAGTTGGAACTGTTTTTGGACAGAAGACATGATAATCATTGCCGGTGTGGTTGCCACAGTTATTACTATTCTTCTGATTGCTGTCGGTGCATACCTTGGATGTCGACAATATCGTGCCAAGTAAGTTTTGTTCTTGAAAAAATTCTTTATTCAACACAATTTTCTGATCGCAACAAACTAACCATTATTTATTCAGTGCTAAACTAAAAGCACAAGCAGCAAATAAATTGAAATTTTCAACGAAAAATTTAACAACTGCTGATACTGGTCCATCAACAAGAACATTTCGATCCAATAAAATACCAACAACAACAACTGTCGATCATATTGATAAACCGGTACAAAATGTTGAAAAACAAGGCAAATTCAGAAAATGGATTGGAAAAATTTTCCCATCATCATCATCATCATCTAAACCAAATAAAAATGAAAAATTAACAACTAAAAATATTAGTCAATCAAAAAAATTAAAAAGAATTCCATCAACAACAGCAACTAGAAATGTAAAAAACAATTCTATTGATAAACCAGTTGAATTAAGTGAATGGAATCCACAAACACCACCTAAAAAAATAAATGTTCAACATGTTCAAAGTAGTGATGATGATGAATTTATTTCAAGTTTTTATAATCAGCCACCAAAACAAGCATCACCATCATCATTATCAGATTCATCACTTTTAAATTTTAAATATTTGAATGAAGATTATGATGGCATCATCGAGGAATTTAGGGATATAATTGAACAGGAAGATTTGGTATCATCATTAAATAGGTTGTCACAACAACAACAACAACGAGCACCATCACCAGCATCTTCCGATTCATCAGTAATATTCTTGTCCGAACAACCTCGACAACAACAACCAGTACCATCACCAGCATCTTCCGATTCATCAGTAATATTCTTGTCCGAACAACCTCGACAACAACAACCAGTACCATCACCAGCATCTTCCGATTCATCAGTAATATTCTTGTCCGAACAACCTCGACAACAACAACCAGTACCATCACCAGCATCTTCCGATTCATCAGTAATATTCTTGTCCGAACAACCTCGACAACAACAACCAGTACCATCACCAGCATCTTCCGATTCATCAGTAATATTCTTGTCCGAACAACCTCGACAACAACAACCAGTACCATCACCAGCATCTTCTGATTCATCAGTAATATTTTTGTCCGAACATCCTCGACAACAACAAC